GACTTGTGCTTTGTTGGGAACGGAATGATCTGCAACACAACAAAGAACAGACAATGGCCTTTCCTGTCTGTTTTCCGTTAGGCTTGGATAAAGGCCTTTTTTACCCACAGCCAGCAGCCAAACAATTTCTGTATACGCTCTATGGTTATTTTGAGGTTATTTGCTATCCTGCAGGAGTAGAGCAAGGGAAGAGTTTTAAAAGTTACAACTTCTTGTCAAGTCTGTCTCTCCAGTTGACCTGCTTTTTCTCCAGTCCTGACTCCAGGAGCAAATGGCTCAGGCAGACATCAGGCTGTGAATGAAGTTGGTGAACGGCTTTGGGTAAATACGCAGATTAGATGTTGAACGAAAATGAGACTCCTCAGGCCAGCCCTTTGCACTGAAGTGGTTAAGTGGGCTGTGATTAAAAGAAATAAGCAATTATCCTAATTATAGATGAAAAGATACAGAATTACCACTTTAAAAGCACCTCCTGTGCTCTGGAGTGGTTCTGTTATTTGCAAAGTGGTAGTTCATAATGATGTAGCATAAGCAAGAGGGCACCCTCTCGGTGCAGTGCAGCAGCCCTGTCTCTCTGAGGCAGAGGGTGGTACTGTGAAGAGCTCTTTGTCCCCTAAGCAGAACTCCAAAGTTCAAGTCTTGCTTCAGTGAGTAGGATGGGACTAAGCCAGGAGAAATTGTGGGAACCTTTCTATCTCAAGCTGAATGCAGGGCACACGAGAGTTCACAGAGCTCTCCCTGCTTGGCCACAACCACTGGTGGTAATGGCTTTTATGATCACCAGGTTTTCAATAATAAATAAAACAAAGAAGCAAACTCTGAAGCACTGGAGATCAGCCCTGGGTGGTGACATCCTGTCACAATTGAAGCATGGCAATTCGGCTGGCTAGTAACTTATTACAAAACGTTTCTTTACCAGTCTCTTCCTACTCTGGGGCAAAGTGCCCGTATGCCTGTGGGACTGAAAAAAACTGACTCGCTCGGTCATGGTTGCTGGCGGGTCCTCTGCATCTCCACTACAGTGCGGTGCTGGGAGACGTGTTACACTCTTGCTCTGCCTGCTGCATCTGTTATTGTGCACAGGAATTTGGTTCACAGTGCTGTCAGTCAATTCAGTGCCACTCATAAGCCCTAAATGCCCAACAGGCTGTTTGTCAGAATGTTCCTATTAACAACTCAGTGAAAATAAAGGGTGAGGGAAAGGGAAGGTGGAGAAATAAATCTTATTTTAAATCTTTTGAGCTGGTTTTATTTCAAAAGGAAAGTTGCATGTGGACCACCCCAAGCTATTGTGCTGTGGACTGCGTCAGCTGCTTGACTGTGCGAGGAAGATTTGGCTAGAGGTTAAGAGCATCACACAGAGGAAGGATGCACTGGGTTCCTTTCATGCTGTGTTCAGGAAGTTTCTAACTCAGTATGGAGTTGAAATACGTGGTGATCATTACAAGAAGAAAAAGAAACACTGAAATATGACAATTTGCTGCTGCCATTCTGGGGATTGTGTTGGTTTCTGACTGTCTTGTAGAGGCAGTGACATGTTGCAGGGCGATATAGGAAAATGAAAGGCAGATGCTATCCTGGCGTGCTCTGAGGCTGCTTGCTGATCTCAGCACAGTACCTGCTGTCTAGACACCTTATATCTGCCTACCTAGTGTATGGTTTCAGAAGGTGGCATGGCTCTGAAATGTGGCAGTGGCATTGTCCTTGGTTTAAAGGAGTTCTTCAAGGAAAGCTGTAGAACCATGTACCAGGCAGTGTGATGCGGGAAGAAAAGGGAAATGCTGCCATGTCTTCTGCTGTGGTCACACCGCAGGTGGAGGTGAGTAGCAGCCTCCTGGGCCAGCTTTTAACTATCGCAGGCATCACCAGGAGAGGGACTTTGTCAGCAGTACTTGAGCATAGACAGCACATGTCCACAGAGTCCCTTCCTTCCCAGTTTAAGGTCCTTTTGCTCTGTCTTCACTGCTTTGTATTCCAAGATATTAAAGTACCATCCAGTCCATGCAGGACTACAAGAGCTGTAAATGTATCCCCAGTTTGAGTGGAGCAATAACAACTGAGGGAGGATAAGGGAAAGATTGTAAAGGGTAGGAACATGGAAAATGGAGGACGCAAATGGAAAAATGCTGTCTCAAGAAGGTCTGAGACAGAACATTGATGTCACAGCAGCTTTGTGGCTCCTGTCCCCCTCTTTTTTTTTTTCTTTTGCTGGCCAGCTGCCTGTCTCCCAGGACAGTGCCAGTCGCCATCTCAGGGTTGTCCTAGGCTTGCTCCTGTCCAGCCCTGCAGAGCCCTACTCATCCATAGTTACCAAAGAACAACATGGAATCTGATATGGGCAATGTGTTAGAGAAGGAAGGAATCTTGAGGAGTTGAGTAATGCACATTTTTTCCATCCAGCGTAACTGTTAATGGTAACCTTTTATTATTGAAGTGGTTGAAGTGACTAGAATCTGGTTTGTTTATTGGGAGTATATGCCTGGCTGTGTAGTCTAATGTGGTCGAAAAAGGAAATTGATAATAAGGGAAAAATACACCTATGGAAGCAAGTCAAGTGATGTCTCTGTGTAATTGTAATTCCAAGTAGCACTGCAGAGATAACAGCCTGGCAACCTTTTCATCTTAAACTTTATTTTTATAGGGGTTTATAACTTGGCACTGAAGTCAGGAGTGGGTGGAAACTTGGCAAATGTGGTTCAGCCCAGAAAGTGAATGTTATTTATATTTATTTCTCACCAAGTTTTCAAAAACACTTTGTTACTGTTTTTGTGTTCTAACAAGTAGTAATTTGTTGGTTTCAGTGACTTATTCTCTGTGTGTTTCTTAAGTTACAAAATAGTTCAGAACTTACTTCAGCTCTTCTGAAACTCCTGGTGGAAGGACTCTGGATTTCCAGGGGTGTAAATGAAGACCAAAAGTAGCTCATTGTGTTTTCTTTTAGCAGCATGCTCCAAGTATTTCATGTGCACTGAGCAACATCTTTATTTTTTTCATAGTTCACATTGATTTCACATCTGTTCCTAAAGCCAGAGAATAGTGGTAGAGAGCCTTCCATACCTGATTTTCAGGAAGCCTACTGACATTATGAGGAGCAGCATTTGAATAGGGATTTTCGGTATTTTCAGCAAACTGAAATAGTGTTGTGTCTCTAGCAGGCTGCGAGTACCATAGCAAAATGGTCATTTGCTGGCAATAGTGTTTATGTATTGCATGTGTTGCATTGCATTTCATAGTTGAAACATGCTGCACAAATAAGCATTTATTTAGAAAATCAGTTGGGTTGGAACGTTGGCTTATGTGGAAAAATGGAATGAATAATTTTCTTATAAATGCTTAATTTTATGTTAAAAGGGTTTTTTTAGCAATGATTTTATAAAAGGTTAAAGATTTTGTGGGTTTTTCCTTTAAAAGAATGGGAAAAGTGAGTTAAAATTTCTTACAAGAAAATCCTGTCTACTAATTCACCTAGTTGTAAAATTCAGTACTTGTGATGTTCCGGAATGACAGCTCTAAAGATAGTAACTGTGTCTGTTTGTGTGTGTTCAGGGCATGACTCCCTCCCCAGTGAGAAGTCAACCCTCTCCATCTGAGATTAACTCTGGAAGGTGAAAAGAGCTGTCTTGCTATTTAGAAGGAAACAGAGAAAGTCATCAGTAAACTGTCATCTTGAGTATTAACTGTGTAAAGCTTCAAAGCTTTATATAGATTAAGTTTTTAAAAAGAGTTCAAAGCCTTGTACAGTTGTTAATCATTACACAAGTTATAATAGTATTATTATATTTATGAAATAAATCCTGTCTTGTTATTTGCTGAGAGCAACAGAGATGAGGTAGTAGTTTTCTAGTTGTATGATATGCATCCCTGAACACTTTTGTATCAGATCAGTATATAAATGCCTATCCAGTTGCATGTAGTTTATTGTCATGGAATCTGCAACCTACTGTAAAATGACTTCTGATTAGTAATAGTTATATTTGTGTACTTTTTAAACTTCATTTTCTATTTCAAACACTACTTTTAGAGGAAATTTATTATTGTAGGATGTGCATTTAGCTACACAAAAAGATATTGCAATATATTGCAAGATATTATGCTGACATAATATATTTAAAAGGGACATAATATATTTAAAAGGGACAACACATATCAGTATATACAATATATGCATTTTGTGTGTAGTGTTTCATTTTTTTGTAGCATGGTGTCACTTAGGGATCTGGGGTCTTTGTTGGGCTAAACAAAGTTCTTTTGAAGAGAGTGAAGCCACTTTCTTTAAAGTTGGCATTCATGCAGAGATGCTTTAAGGTTTCTGGGCAGACTTGTACCAGTGAGGCTTTGTATATAGGAACCATTGCTTAAAAATTTTCTCATGTGTGAATTGCATAGTTTTGTAGCATACTTTCACACAAGCAGGACGATTCTGCTGTAGTGCACCTGGGTGAATTGACATTACCAAATAACTTTATCCACACACAATGGAAGGTAGAGTTTATGTCACAAAAGATAATAGTTGCTGAGTTTGTAATGAAAAGCTGATCTATGAGCTGCACAGGGAATGGTCTGGTTTCCATTGAGTTTGTGTGAGTGGATACTAGTTTGAATTTCCTTCATGTAAATGCCCGTGATTCTGAAATGTTCACCCCTTTCAATAGTTATTCAATTTGCTGTGACAGATTCAAAAATTAGTGACAGTGCGAGTGGAAATGTCCAAGCTGGTTTCTTTAGGAGATGAGGCTGGAGAGGGTACCTTCTACTGATCTGATAAGGAGACTTCCTGAGCAGTGGGTGCTGCCTGAGGAGTCCAAAAGAATGTTAATTATTGTTGTTGCTTTTACTTTGTGCTGCTTTTGATGATTTTCTGTGAAGCTTTTATGCAAGTGCAGATCTGCAAACTAAAGCGGGTGTTGTTATGTGGAGTCACCTGCAGTAACCCTTGCCCTAACAGTCCTTTTGTAAGTGCAAACTGAAATGACCGCAAACTAATTTTTCTCTTTTAACAGTGGAAAGAGCGGAAAGAGCAAACCTTTCAGACTATTGTGTTCTTGGTCAACGTCCCATGCATTTACCAAATATCAACCAGCTGGCAACCTTGGGAAAAACTAACGAACAGTCTCCTCATGGCCAAATTCACCACAGTACTCCAATCCGAAACCAAGTGCCAACAATGCAGACAATGATAAACCCTGGGCTCCTGTCTCCTCAGCTCAGTCCACAACTGGTGAGGCAGCAGATAGCAATGGCCCATCTGATAAACCAACAGATTGCTGTCAGCCGGCTATTGGCTCACCAGCACCCACAAGCTATCAACCAGCAGTTCTTGAATCATCCACCCATCCCTAGAGCTGTCAAACCAGAGCCATCAAATTCATCGGTGGAAGTCTCTCCAGATATTTACCAGCAAGTCAGAGATGAGCTGAAGAGAGCCAGTGTGTCTCAAGCTGTCTTTGCAAGAGTAGCATTCAACCGCACACAGGTATCAATTTTTATTCTATAACCAAGAAGTGCTGAGGGGGCAAAGCTGTGGCTCTTGTGGGGGTGTATGGTTGTTGCAGATGAAGGTAGGAGGTGTGCTGTAGAAACAGGTCAAACCACCGTACCGTTTTTCGCCCCATTGTCTTTGTTGGGATTGAACAGACTGTTTCTTCCTTGAACAGCTGTTCGTTTGCATTTGGTCACCCCAGTGCCATTACCTGAGGTTTGTTCTCTAGCAGTAATTCTGCTTGTGTGAGTTCTTCCCTGATTTCATCTCTGTGGTTATGAACTTCCACGTCTGCCCCTGCCTGATAGCCAGGAAGAGGTAGCAAGACTGAGAGTCAGAGGTGTCTTTGGGCTTCTGTTGCTTCCTCAGTTCCTTCCTGTGGTACAACTGATGCCTCAACTAACGCCAGAGGCTACTGCCACAAGAAATGTGTAAGACAAGTGTGCATAGGCCTAAAGACTGATGGCTGGGAAAGATGTCTGCCATTTGCAGCAAATCGTATTTGCTTTTCGTACATCTGACGCAAGCTTTCTCACTCACCTAGTGAAATGCAGATGTTGAAATGATCTCATGATAGCGTCAGTGTAAGCCTAGCACCTGGAGTACCTGGAGTGAATGTATGTTCAGAAAGACAGGCCATTTACATATATCCTGCTGCCATTCAAGGCATACAAAGTATGGTCTCTCAGTTGTGATACTCTCAAGCAAGGTTAAAGAAATGGAAAATGGCTTAATTTTTAATGTTGGTACGAATTTATTTTGTGCGATTGGAGTTGGTCTTTCAGATAAGCTTCACCAGCAAGAGAAAAAAAGGGGAGAGGAGGTGTTTCCTGGAGGTCTGTCCCTTGTCCCATACAGTGCCTTTTTCTGTTCTGGATTAATGATTTTCTTTGGCACTGCCATTTTGTAAATGCCATGTTATGAGGGAACTAGTTAGAGTATGGAGCACATTTTTATTACTTCCCTTCTTCCATTAAATTCCTAAGATGGCTGCACTCAGAAGGAAACATTCACTTCCAGTCAACATGACTTTGAGTTCTGGGATTAGCCTTGAGGATATCAAATGAAAACTATGTAGGAATGTATGAGTATTTCCTCCTTAAAATGCTGCTTCTAATTTGGAAAAGCTTTTCATCCCTCTGGGATCATAACCTGTTGTATATAAAGTCTGGTATAGACAAGGTAGATGGTATTGACAGAATGAAATATTCTGAAATCAAGCAAGAGGTCAGCAGTAACGTTGCCAGTGAGGGCTTTGCCACTGTGACTGAACATGGAGCTCTGCTTTAGCCAGACTGGGAGAGTTGGGTTGGTAATGCCTAAGTCTGGCATTGAACCGAAAGTTCATTCCCCAATGAGGAAGCTGTCATACAACTTGTGCGTTATATCGACAGTGCTACTGTAGTGTTTAAAAGGATACGTGTGTCTAGGAAACCCCAAGACTTGCTGGGGTTATTACTGACCAAATGTTGTACATTGACAGCAGGCAGAAGGCAAGCCTGTGAGAGAGACCACTCTGGCCGCTGCCTAGCAGTGGCACAGCACTGGCATCTGGCTATGGTGTTAATAGCAGCTACGATAGAGATTGCGCCACAGTCTTGATAGGTAGTCTGAAATACGGAGTAAATCAGTTGCAGTGTGGTTTGGGGTCTTGATGGGAGTAGTGGGGATTTTTTTTGTTCCTTTTACACCTCTTGCAGTGTAGTGTCCTTTGAGAATGTGCCACATACCTCTCCTTGGCAGGGATGCGCCTGGAAGTCGGACCACTTGGCATTTATGTTCAGTATATATAACTACAGTGTCTGTAGTTCAGGATGCTAGTTAGTATCACTGGTTTTGTCAGTCCTCCTGCTGACATTTATCTTAGAGTCCACTAACTACTCTAGCTTTTCTTTAAAAAAAAATCTTCCCTGATTTTGATTGCTTCATTGCAAGATATCAGACACATAATTGTATATAAAAGAAAAGAAATTACCTACTTCTTAGCCCTCCATCATAAGTAATATGATGTACTACACAGTCCTTGACACTGATTCCAGAACAGGCAAGTCTTAAACATCCATAAAAGTTTTGCTTGTCTCCCAGCTGTGTTTCATTGGTCTACAGGGCCTTAATATAGAAGACCAGTGAATCTTACATACAGTGTGTCATGTCCTAGGAGCCATCACTGTAGCAAAAGAGTGTAGGTACTTCCCTGTCCTCAGCTTTTAATTCCAACTCAAATCAAGCTCCTGTCATGTTAGAGACTGTTTGAGGTATTAAGAAGCGGTGCTCAGACAGTCAGCCTTGTGCTGCACAGCAGAAGATGTGGGATGTTCCCACACGCCCACGGTGGAGAAGCAAACTCTGTACAAGTCACTTGAAGTGGAAATTCAAGTCTACTCTCACCTCCTTGCATTCCCTCTGCTGCCTCTGAGGATCCTCTCCTTGGGAGGTGCCGAGAGCTGAGCATTCCTCTCTGGAAATGTTTGGGTTTGTTGCATTTCACAGGAAGTACCAGCCTTAGAAACTGGAGGCCTGTTGTTTCTCATGATGGTACCAAATAATAGATGCTGTAGGCCAGCCAGCTAATAATTGTATTAATCACTGCATTATGGGCCACTGCTTAATCTTTCTTCATGGTAGTGCTGTGGTGCACATTAGCCTATAATTAAGTATAGCTTCATGAAATATGTACTGTGAGGCTTGTTTAATAGATAAACTATTCTCTAATTTATTTTAAAGTCCAATGACCTACATACTCAATGCTGAAAAACCCCCTCTTACTAACATTATTTCTCCCCTGAGACCTTCCATCTGAGCAAATCTGTTAAATGAAGTAGAGGAAGCTTTGATCCAAACTAGGCCAAATCCATCGGAACAAATGGCTGACACATGTATGTGTCATGTGTGTGGGAAGGGGGACGTGAGGAGGGTCAGAAGAAGGAGAGGTGCAGTTGTATGGTTTGTGAAACATCCAGATATTCCTCTTAAAGTTGGAAATACATAGGTTAAGACAACAATATTTGCTTATACCTGTGGCCATGTTGTCTTCACACATGCAAACAAAGCGCTTCAGGCTCTGTGACAAATCCAGTGCATTTCCTGGGACACAGTGCTCCCACCGAGATCCCTCTCTGAGATAGGGACTGAACATGAGGTAGCGTTGCATCTCCCGTGCACACAGGAGAGCTGCACAGAGTGTTTGGTGAGGAGCTGGCCCAGGCTGGGTTAGCCATGAAGAGGATTTCATTCAAACAGAAACTCCCAAAGTGAAGATTTTCAGATTTATTTGAAACTGAGTATGAAGAACCCTCAAAGTGGGTATGACTGATTTTTACTAAATGCCTTGGACTAATCTCTGCCCATTCTTTTTATTTTATCTTTAGAGAGTCATTGTCACAATTTTAATTAACCCTACTGTGGAATCGAAATGCCTATTTATTCAGCAAACAGGATAGGTAGAAGAGAGCTCTCAGTCCCTCAGAGGCAATACAGTTATTGAAGATGGTTTTAATGACACCATTTCGAATGAGCAGGAAATTCCTAAAGAACCTTCAAAACATTTAAAATGCTGGTGCACACTACCAGGTTTGTCTAAGATGGTGTTGCCTACGACCTGCTCAGCAATTATAAGAATGGTGTCTGTTGGAAAGACACCTTCTCAGACTCTATCTTCTCTTGCAGTAGCCAGCAGCACTGCAGTTTTTAACTCCAGATATGGTCCTCTCTTGTGGACTGCAGTGAGTCACTATTTAAACTTGTCAAGAAGGTGGTGTAGCCCAAGGAGTGGAGCTGGGGCTGTTCTGCCCTCTTCCAGGAGCCCTGCTGAGATGGGTCCGATGCAGGCAGAAAGGACAACACAAAAGGGATGTTTATATTGCTGGCTCTGTGCTTAGCTGGCCACCATTTCCCTCCCTCCAAGGCAACCATGGGACCCACTGGCTTATACAGGAAAGAATGGATCAAGGGGGTGGAAGGAGTTTGCCATGACTTAAGGTGGTTAGCAGTGTTGCTGGGGCAGGAGGTTTAGTTTCTTGCTTGTATAATTGCATAGTTTGTGCCCAGGTTCTTCATGGCCAAGATCCTTGGCCTTTGGATCCCTTCTGCAGCTCTGCTGGCCTGTGACCCAGAAGTCGGAAATTTGCAGGCTCCTTGATTTGAATGTGTTGTTTACTGAAATAGTTTGTTGTCTTTGTTGGGATTGCTGCTATGAACTAATAGCTCGCTAGTGGAAAACTAGGCATCCTTGTCTGGGTCTTAAAAACTGTGTGCAGGAGTGTGAGTGGGTTTGAATGGAAGACAGAGAGCTGTATGAGGCCCATCAAACACTTGAGAGTTACATGGTCATACCTGATATCTTTATTTTAAAATGCAGGGCATCTTCATAAAGCATGCTGACATGCAGCCAAGCTGGAAGCTGAAGTTGCTATTAAAACAATCATTAGTGAAAGTTTTGCTTTCTGTAAGACTTTGGCACTTTTTAAGTCTGTAACAAACTATTAAATCTTGAGAAAAAAAAAAAGAAACAAGGAGAAGTCTGATTAATACTGCAAATTCACAGGAGAAGCGCAACTGTCAGAGGCAGAGCAGATGTGTCTCACACTTGGAATTGGCCTGTGCACATTTTTAAAAAGTGGTCAAAGGTTTGAAAAGGCCGCAGCAAAGGAGGTGCCTGCAAGATACAGGCTGCAGAGGGTGAGAAGGTTTTAATGCGCAGGGGGTACATCTGTCCCTCATTGGTCTCAAACAGTGCAGTAAAGTCAGAGGGGCTGTCACTGCTGGCTGGAGTTCTCCAAAAACGCCTACCTGGCTGTAGCATGCCCCATCTTTAAATCAGGATAACCTCTAGGTGACTGTTAGCTTCTAATAGCATGAGCACCCTTCAGGCTGGTCAGCCGATCTCCTGCGAAGTGGGAGGCAGGACAAGGGGACTGCTGGCCAAAGTGGTTACCAAGGCTGCAGACTTCTTCCTGGGGAAGAATACACACGTGGATTTTGGCCATCCTCAGGGC